CTCGGTTAAGATTGATTCGAATACTTTTGGAATGGCAGAAAGTATCGATATTCCACGGTAGTTCTCAACATCGCACCTATCTCCAGACTTGGAAATGGGAAGAAGGAGGGAAAACTTCCACTTTTCAGGAAAACAATCACAATCCAAAGATCGTTGAAAAATAATGCAAAGTGGTAAGGCTAAGGAAGACGAGTAACCTTTCAGAAATATAGCTGGTATTCCGTCGGGACCTGCTTTTTTGAATATGTCCAGCAGATTTAACTTGTCTGTAATTTCTTGCGTCTGGAAGTTATGAGATCATAGGATAGTAGCAAACTGGTCAAGTTCAATGGATGTCATATCTAAGTCATCGTGGCAGTAAGATGCTTGGAAGTGCGTAGCGAATGCGTCAGCAATGGAATCATGGAATGGAGCCATCCAATGTGCAATCTTTGTACTTCATCTGCGTCGGCCAGTTCGAGTTCCTCTTTAAATTATTGATAAATGATCAAAAATGATTGAGATTCTGAAGGACGAGGTGCTCAGTGTTGGTAACATATAATACACATGCACATGTCAATGCGGACTTTAGTCTCACGACGAATTTTAGTGTAGGCTTCATAGTCACCTTTCAGTCTTGATTTCTTGTATTTCTTATATAATCTATTCTTTTGTGCGATGCATTCACGAACTCCTTTTTCATACCAGTTAGGATATTTATCACTCTTAATTGTTTTCTTTGGAACTGAAAGGTTAATATCCTGAAAAAGGGTTTCTTAGAAGAGAGTGATCATTGTATCAACGTCGGTTATTGAGGACAAAAAAGAGCAGTTTATCTAAAAGTGGTTAAGTTCCGAGTAATTGGCACGATGAAAATCAAATACTTTGACCTCAGTTCTGACACTTGACGTCTTGATCTGTCCCAGGGAGAAACAAGTTTCGATGGCCGGATGGTAAGCATCCATTGCCACCAGAGGGTCAGCACTGGGTGTGATGCAGAGATCAATGAAGTCGTCGACGAAAATTAGGTCCAGAGTTCTACACAGATGATTCTGAATGACGTTCATCTGTTGCAGTTCAAGAAAGTACATGGTATTCATGAGCACCTCGGCAGAAGCTGATGGAAGATCTTTAGGCACTATTGTGTCGTCTTCAAATACCCACTTAATTCATGGCAGGTTAAAATCACCAAATATGAGAAATCTGTGTTTAGAATAAGTGTTCTTAAGAGTTTCACAGGTGTCATAGAAAGACTGATAGCAATCGATCGTAGAGTTAGCCAACAATAATTTTACTTCCGTCGTGATCCAGCTGAACCCAAACATCCTCGTAAAGGTTCGTTTGAGATGTAGAGATGCCTGAGGAGTGAAGGTGCCCCAGTGTAGCAATTAGTACTTTGCCCCCACGTTGACTGCCCAGGTCATTATAGTTCCTATCTCTTCGAAAAACTGTGTACTGGGAGTTGAGTAATTCAGCGTTGTAGAAAGTGTCATTCAGCCAGGTTTCGGTTAATGCTATTATTTCGAAGTTACATGCGGACGATGATCTTATAATTTCGTCAGATTCAGTCCTTAGACCACTAACATTCTGATAAAAAGTGGTTACGAGGTTACGATTTTCGATGGGCTCACAAAATCCAGGTTTAAATTTGAGGCGTTACTTATGTCGTTTTTGGAATTAGAAGGAATGTGTCTTGACGGGTTTGAGCACTGCGAGTACATGCCCCCAACTCCAGCAGTTATCTTTTTAGTTACACAGGATGGGCGAATTTTTGTTATCCATAGGTGTTGAGCCAAGTTAATTTTATCCCTATAGTCTATAATCCCATCATGACTGGCCAATAGCATAGGCAGAAACAGAACATTGGCGCCACTGTCGTCAATAATGTTGGAAATAACCTGATTGTGGTTGTGGATAATTTGATTTAAGATTGGTCTGTTGGTATGTAAGGGTGGACCAATAAGTATATTAGGTTTGTTTTGTAACCAACTTCCAGTAAGGCCTGAACAGTTGCCTCCTTGATTGAATCCCCCTCAATGGCGTTTTCGGAGCCCCAAAACAATATGACATGGTCGTTGGAAGTAAAGTTTTTAGAAAGTTGGAGGCAAAGAGAGACGGCATCTTCAAATTTAAGGCGGTCAGACCACTGGCAGTTAACGTCGAAGCGTCGATTGGAAAACTGTTTTATCATTCCTGATAGTCCGTGAACTTTTCTGTCTCCAATGATTAAAAGTTGATGCGTTTTGACAACAGCCTTCGCTGTTTCTGCTTTATCGATTTAACAAGTGCCACTGTGTATGTTTTGTGTGTGTGTGGTCTTTAATGATAACTTAAGTTTCTCAAGCTCAGAGAGATACGTGGCTCTTTCCAGTTCCAGAGTTCTGATTGAACTAATCATACTTTGGTTTAACGCAGTTAACTCTTCCATTTTCAGAGTCCATTGGGAGAGCTCGTTTTTAGCTTCCAGCAAATTTTCTGCGAGCAGGGAGTTTTTTTTGTCAAGTTTGGAAATGTGTTTGTTTAATACACAGATTCTCTCCCTTTTCTCCTTCAATCTGTTGAACATTCTTCATCTTCCTGATAATCGTCATTTGTGGGTTCGTTGCGAGTTTTACTCTTTAAATCATCTTGTAAAACGGAGTTCAGTTTACGTAGATCAACGATTAGCTTGTTCAATTCACTGATCCTTTCATTTTGTTGCTTGAGGTGGTCGATGTATTCTTGCTCACTCGCAAAAACACTCTCTTCAAAGTCCACTGTACTACGTTTCAATCTGTTGATATGTTCTTCCTTCTCTCTGCTGTCGACTTGAAGCTTATGATTTTCACTCTCTGGCCGAAATGCTGTCCCAGTTCATCAAGTTCTGCAACTTTATTGTTAAGTTCCATTTTGCTTTTCTCAAATTGGCCAACAATCTTTTTGAGGTTTGGCACATCCTTTATGAGGGACATGCATTGAGGACAGTAATATATAAGCGTTCTCTGTGCGAGAGCAACCGTGCAAGCTTCCGTGTTTATAGTTTGTTTTGTGAATGCAGATGTTTCAACACAATAGATCAGTATATGAACTACAGCTTACATCAAAAATTCCATTTCCATATGTGTTTTTAAATGTCCATTTTTTTTTTTTGTATTTATTTCGGTCTTCCAAATACTTCCCAGGCCAATTTGATTCTTCTGTAAAGCCCTATAGAAAATGTATGAAAAATTTAATAATAATTGATGACCAGAAAACGATTGTTGATATGAACATGCAAATTCGGTTATCAAAAAATTGTTTTCCATTTTGAGTTTAGTTTGTGGGCTAGACTTGTTACATTTATTAAACTTTGTTTTGTCCCATTTTTGTTAAATCAAATACATCTACCTATTTACGTAACAAATTAGTATGATGTGTACTGTGTAGGAATTTCAAAACGGGTAAAGCAAGGAGATTAATTGCCTAGTTGTTAAAAAATAGTTTGTGCATAATGTTTTGGAGTTGATATATACAATATTGAATACTTAGATATAAGCTTTGAAAAATTTAATATATCAGTACTAACATCGATAAATAAGCAGCAATTGCTTCAAGTACCTACTCACTTAACTCTAAAGACAACTTGTAACAATCTCGACAAAACAGCTTTGTCTAATTCATGGCGTTTTATTTACTATACATCGTACAATTCATAGAAGAAACTCATTATCACAGAAAACAGCTCTAAAGATAATAATTACAAAAAAAAAAATTATGTTCACCTGAGAATAATTATTTTTTATTTCAGGCACGTCATAGTCTCTCCAAAATAGTATGTCCTGCTACATGGTTGTCGAGTCCAGTTTCGACTGATGCGCTCCTAAGGGTCGATGGACGTAGTGCGAAATCCCCCAGGAAACCCTATGTCGGTGGCGGCAGGGGCAAGAGCCGCTGATGGAGACAAAGTCGAAACGAATATGGAACGCTTCGACGGGTAAACAATAATAGTTTTCCTCTTTTTTTTTTCCATGCTCGATTCAATTATATTTCTATTGCTGTTTGCGCCAAGGATGGTGACAACTTTTTTTAGTCTATTTTTAGAGCATAGGAAATTATATCAATTTTCTTTTCAACTCTTAACATAAAAAGGGGGTGAATGCTCTGCGAGAAAAAGGGTTTTAGTTAGACTTAATGTTTCCCTTTCCGGTCTCGGATTTGAAAGGGGGAGTCTTGAGACTATAGCGAGATAAATAAAAATCGAATTGTCTGATCCTTTTTGTATTATCCAATAAAATTTATGACCTTCCTTTTTTTCTATTTCCTGTGAGTGATCCCGAATATTGTTTTCTATTATTGCCTGTTGCATTTATTTTATTATTTTATAATTGACAGGGGAGCACATATTGAAATTACAATAGTTATTTACCTAACAAATGCGGAAAGTGATACTTTACCGCACGCAACGGCAGTTAACCGAACGACGCGAAGCGGAGTTCGGTCAAGCCGTTAAGGGCGGTAAAGGCACTTTCCGCATGTGTTAGGTACAAAATTTTACCTATGAGCATCTACATCTCCAAAAAAAGGCATTGATAAAATTAATTAATGAATCAGATTAATTAATGAAATTAAATAAGATTTAGAAATGATCAAAAACAACATTTTCTGAAAGAGAGAGGATTTTTTATTATAAATATCAAATTCTACTTTACCGCACACTATGCGGTAAAGTGCACTTTACCGCACACTTTGTATTCTACTTTACCGCATACTATGCTGTAAAGTTAACTTTACCGCACACTATGCAGTAAACTGCACTTTACCGCATAGTGTGCGGTAAAGTGATACTTTCCATTTGCAAATACGTCCGGTAAAGTGCACTTTACCGCACGCTCGTAGGTAAATAAAAGAAACCAGTTTGTTTTCAATAAACTTCCATACTGAAATGCTTCAATAAACGCATTCATCAGGGAGCAAAATTTACTTGAAAGTCTAATCAATTATTACAGAACAGTTGTTTTTTCCAACTTTTTACCTTAAGCATGGAAAATTGGCTTCTGTAAAATATGATTCAATTAGCCGTCTGCGCTAGAGTGAATTATGAAGGCAGATTAAATTGGCAAAAGGTAAAAAATTAGAAAAAAATATGCAGAACTATTCGCAATCAATTTGTAGAAGTTAAGCGCAATAAAAATATGACTAATAGCAATTAAGATATAATTTCCTTTCTCATCCTGCCAGCATTACAAAAAAAAAAAAAAAATGTAAAATAGATTTTTGTCAAGTTGATGCATCCTTGAAAATGAAGAAAATGATGTTGTTTATTCACAATTTTCTTGTATTTTGCACATAACCAATATTGAATATATGAATCCAATTCCTGCTTCACCTACAAAGCAATACAATTATGTTCTCTTGAAAACCATTTCCTTGAATTAGGTACCTAACTAAGAATACCGAGTCACAATTGATAATGATTTTCCCGTTTCAACGCATCGTCTCCAATCAACACCTAAGTAAAATAATAACATTTTCACTAAAGTTTCTTCCACAAATCATGAACTCAGCCATAGGTTTTCTGTTTGTCAAGTAACTTAACTGGATTTTTCCAAGAATTAAGAATAGGCCTCAAAAGTTATGCCAGGCTTACTGCAGGAGTTCATATAAAAATCTAGGTAAAATCTTCGTTGTTCGTTTATTCCAGAATCAAAGTCCAACGGCCATTTGCACCGCTATAACTTAAGGGATATTTAATCCAAGCTTTGAATGTGACTCTCGTAGAAACAAAAGCAACATTCAAAGCTCCACGGAAATTAAATATATCCCTTATGTGATAGCCGTGCAAATGGCCACAAATAACACAGCAATAATTTATTCCACTTAACTATACACTCTGACACTAATTACTTTAATAACTAACTCAACAATTAAACTCTTCACAACTCGCAACAATAATCACTATTTAAATCGTATCACAGTCAAACTTAAGCTTAAAACTTCTAAATACCAGCTTGCTTTATATAGCCGTAAATCCATTTATATGCAATCTAGAATACACGCGATAACTCTCCTTTTCCCGATTTAGTAGAATCAGAATTTACTAGATTATAGGAATCTGTAATTTCTAGGGTATTCGACAGCCTAGGATTCTTGACACACTGGCGGCCGTTACAATATTGTTTATAAATTTTGATATAACAAATTCATGTTCTAACATCATAAAACCTATCACATTTACCAGTTTCTTCTATATCGGTCCGTGTTGATAAAATATCATCTACCCAGGGGCCAATTCTCGGGACAGGGAGTAGAGCTCCCCGAGAGACACTGGCGTAACTAGCCATCTGACCCTTGAGGGCCGATCCTCGAGCCAGGGAGTGGAACTTCCCGAGAGAACAAAATTTTCGTCTTTATCATTCTTGTTTACTTTTCGATTACGTTGACAAGGACAAAACATGCGTTCTATCGGGGAGCTCTACTCCCTGGCTCGAGGATCGGCCACCTGGGGGGGCCTAGGGTGGGCCTGGCTGAGGCGCCGAATTTTGAAAGTCCTCATAGGTGCAGGATAATATTTTTATAAATTTGCTTATAGGGGAAGGGGGAAGCTCGCCGTAGTCTATTTTATAGTGTATTTATTTTTCTATTTTTTTCTACGAGCGTGCGAAAAGTGCTTTTTTCTGCACGCATTTTAGGCCATAAAAATATCACTTTTCCGCACTAGTACGGAAAAGTTAAATAATTATGCAATATCAGGTTACCCTGATACTTTTATGTCTTAAAATGCCTCATGTCCCGATTATTATCAAAGAATAGAGATGAAGAATAGCAACATTAGCAATATAAAGTAATCAGAGCATAGAATTGACCACAAATGACGAAAGGACAGAATACTAATACCTCCCTAATCTAAGACTAATACCACTTGTATAATTCTTATACAAAGTTGTGTAAATTTAAATTACATGATACTGATACCACCACACGGAACGGAATGACCATTAAATATGTTTTCCTACGACTGCCTCTGAAAATGGAGTTTTTTGCACGCTAGGCAACCTCTGAAATTAGAGTTTTTCGCACAGCGTGCGAAAAAGTTTTTCACACGCATTTTAGCGTGCGAAAAGCTTTTTCACACGCTCCTCAGCGTGCGAAAAAGTTTTTCGCACGCTTCAAGTTTTCTAACAAATGAAAATTACATATTTGGTTGTTTTATTTTGCAGTTGTAGGAAAAGCATTGTAAAAAACTCGTTTGAAAACCTTTTTTCACACTTGCTCGACTTGTGGAACTCGCCTACGGCTCGGTCCAACAAACTGTCTCGACGTGCGAAAAAAGTCGTTTTCAAAACTTGTTGTTTAAATAACTATTGTACACTTGGCCAATCATAAAGCTGGTACGCAGTTTCCTATTGTGTTGTATTGCGTAAATCGACCTTTTTTATCACCTCAAAAATGACAAAAATAGTTAAGTCAGTGTCATCTTTGAATCAATCATAACATGAAAACATGTTGCATTTACTTTTGTTCAGCTTTGACATTGACAAAAACTGTCTGACCTGAGTTTTTCAAAAGAGACTTTTTGTTGTTAAGCCTGACTCACACTAGGCAAATTTGAAAGATATACAGGGTGAGTTACTAAGCGCGCGGTGGTCCATATCTCCTATACTAACGGAGATCGGAGGAAAAACTAAATACAAAACTTGTAGATAAACATGACTACTACATTCCCAAATTATTTTCCAGTATACAGGGTCGCCCAATAACTAGTAGTGACATAATGTTATGTTTTTTCAAATGACTCTCCCTGTATATTATAACATTTCTGGATTCTGCGGAAAATTTTAGACATATTTCATGTGTAATGTCATATTCAACTCTTTCGGAAATATTGACTTCATTTGCATCTTTAACAGACTGTGAAACCTAAATGGTTAATTTTAGAGGAAAACGGTTTTCACATTCCTATCTTAGATTTTCATAAGCTATCATTTGACACCAACTCTATGAATTTAACCGAAGATTAATAATTTAGGCGGAATTTTTAATCATGGATTAAATTTAAGATTGGTGCAAAATGATAGTTTATGAAAAACTAAGATAGGAATGTAAAATGCATTTTCTTGTAAAATTAACCGTTCAGGTTTTACAGTCCGTCAAAGATGCAAAAAAGTCAATTTTCGACTGTCAATATTTCCGAAACAGTTGAAGATAGGTATATGACATTGTACATGAAATATGTCTAGAATTTTCCGCAGAATCCAGAAATGTCATAATATACAGGGGTAGTCATTTAAAAAAACATAAATTTGTGTCACTACTAGCTATTGGGCCACTCTGTATACTGGAAAATCATTTAGGAATTTAGTACTCATGTTTATCTAAAAGTTTTGTATTTAGTCTTTTCTCCGCGCGCTTAGTAACTCACCGTGTATATTGCCTGTACCAGTTTTATGTTTGGCCAAATGTACTTCTGCATTTCCCACGAGAGCTCCGAGCACCCATGAGAGGTTGCTCATGGGAGCACCTGTCCCAATGCCCAGTGAAGTTGGCGGCAGTGGCCTGGTGCCTGTTATTGTGACTTATTGAAATCTTTAAAAAAGTAGAACAGTGCGATATAGACCATTGGCTTATCAGCCCCTGTATAGTATAATATCAGCAACACCGATTCACGGATTTACAGGTTAAATATTTTCTTCTAACTCCCAAACTTATCTGTTATATTGCTAATGCTAATTTAAGGGCTTTGGTATATTGTATTACTTCTACACATTGCAATTTGCACTGACCCTTGGGTGGCACAATGGCACACAGCACTGTTCGTTGGTGGATCAGAGGATCGGATAGGGTCGATCGGGAACGCCGCGCATTACCGTTCAAATTTAGTAGGTAATACCATAAAATTTATAATAGGTAACGTAGCTTTCAAAAAATACCAAATTATTTTAAAAAATTCTGGGGGGGCCTAGCGACCTGTGGGGGGGGGGGCCGGCCCCCCTGTAGTTACGCCACTGCCGAGAGAACGAATGTTTTGTCCTCGTCAACCTTATCGAAAAGTATACGAGAATGATAAAGACGAACATTTTTTTCTCTCGGGGAGCTCTACGCCCTGCCTGTAGTTACGCCACTGCCGAGAGAACGAATGTTTTGTCCTCGTCAACCTTATCGAAAAGTATACGAGAATAATAAAGACGAACATTTTTTTCTCTCGGGGAGCTCTACGCCCTGGCCCGAGAATCGGCCCCCAGATAACCGATAATATACTTTCTATCCTAGTCTTTCCTCTATCTCATCTCATTAATAATAGGTAGGTAAATATAAATTCATTTGCAATATGAAATTAAATCTCTCATTCTAGGCATTTGGAAGCTTTTTCAATCCATACGAAGACGTTAAGTACTTTTCATCAGTTTGAACTCCTTCCTACTTATTTTTAGGAAACTCCCTAAAAGACTATGTTCACATCAAATTGCCTTGAAACCCAAGAGCTACTCCATTACACTTTTTTTGTTCTGTCCTAATGACCATTGAACCGAGAAAGTTTTTTCAATTCTCAAATAGATTTGTTTATAGAATTAACTAGAATAACTTTATTTCTAGTTCTTGTACTCATTGACAAATATGATAAAATAAGAAACTATGACCATTGCCCATCATCCATTATGACGCAATTGCATATAAATAGATTAAAGAGAAAAAAATAAGTAATAATAGGTATACGAATTGACCCATTTATAATGCACAGCAGCACTTCAACTGCGTGTTAATTGCTGATTGAATAAGTTTTATGAAAACGTGAAGAGGGTGAGGCTCGAAGTTGCATGACAGGAAAACGCGGCGACGAACTTGTTGGACACTGAACAAATTGAATAAAACCAGTCTAGACAAAGAGACAGATTATTGATGATGCATGTTATTTTAGACGAAACGAGGATAATGTCACGGATTCCGGGTCCACTTTAAAAACAGTAACAAATTTTAATTCAAAACAAGCTTTATTGTTAAAGAATACAAACAATGAACACGATTGAACAAAGATAAACCTTCCTATACTTACCTATATATATATATATAATTATCGGTTTATAACGTTCTACGTCTTCCGATTCCCGATCTCCAACCATCTCTGTCA